GGAGCCTCTCTGCCTTATCGCTCCTGATACTGACTGTGTGTGTATGGAGTCGGAGTACGCTTGCTGAGTTCATTAGTCCTTTTTAAAAAAATTTGAAGATAAAGTTGGGAGATCGAGGAGGATCGGCGATGCAACAAAGACTTCTTTTTTTTTTTTCTCTCTCTCTTCTTCGTCATCACAACACAACATACTGCACTTCAGCAAACTCATCAGTTTACTGTCTTAACCTCTTGGAGCAACTGAGTAGGGCAAAATAGAAAACTACCCCCCCCCCCCTTTTTTTTTCTCTTATCTCTTTGCCTGGCTGCAATTCTGCCCACCCCCTCTTGAGCTTGCTCTCTCACCTCCCTTGCTGTGTCTACCCACACATTACAACCCCACTTTCCATGGAAACGTGTGTCTACTTTTCCCCTCCTTTGAAGACTTTTTTTTTTTAATTCTTCCAGTAAAAAAGTCCCAGCTGCACAAATAATTCCATTTTGAATTACCAGAGGACACAGGAAACAGAGAACACAAGGCTCTTGTTTCTTACCTATCTTCAGTGACTGCACTGTTGTGCTTGCAGCATGTCTTCCTCGCTGTACTGTTTTGCTGAGCTGAGTTGTTGATTTGGCAGAAAGAAGCACACTGGGTGTAGAAGTATTTGTCACTTGTAGTTTTGTGGTGTTTGAATGCGAGCTGTTCTTGCTTTGGGTAGTAACCGGCTGTGCTCCAGGCTGGAGCTGTTTAGCAATAGAGCCAGTCGCGGTAGATGTTGGTTGGGGTAACATTGCAGCATCAGAGTCCTGCTTTGGAGTAACTCTGTCAGTGGAAGGAGTGTTTGGTCCCAGTTCACCTAGAATTTTCCAGGAAAGGAAACACATCGAGCATTAACCCCATACCTGAACTTAAATTCAGTTACATTTAAGGCTTCAAACAATGGTTAAAAACAAGATAACTGAGATAAACTGATTCAGTAAATGATCCCAATCTTAATACTAACTAGCATAATCATGATTATGATTCTCATGTAACAACCAAGCATTTTCGATTTCTCACCTTTTAATTGCACAGTCTTAAGTGTCTGCTGCGTTACCACAGAGGACAGTGGGGTCATCACTTTCTCACTCGCTACTGTTGTAGAAGTGGTGCTGGTTGTGCTGGTGGTTGTCAACGCAAACAGGTGAGGCTTCACGGTCTGACTGTCCAGTGGTGGAGTTTTTACATCAGAAACTTTAGAGACCGCGGTCTGTGCCTGCGGTCGATACTGTGCCATTTCATCATCAACTGTTGACAGAGGATCGGGTGATTCCTCCTTCACAAACATTACTGTTGGAGCAATACCTGATCCCAACCCTTGTGAATCAACACCCTGCTTCTCTTTAATTGCATCCTCCTTTGGATTCGCTCCTGTCACTGTCTTATCACCTGCAGGCTCAGCCACTTCGGCAGAGTCCAACACAAGTGGAGGTGGAGTTGAGCTTTTTGTAGTGGCAACTCCCTTTCTGAAAGCTCTGCTGAATGCTAAACTGGCTGTGTCAGTTCTGGGCCTAGAGGCAGTTGGTTGGGTTACAATTAGTCCACTGCTAAGGTTCTGTGTGGGAAGGGCAGACTCAAGAGGGCGGTTGAACTGTGTCACCGATGGATGGAGTCTTTCCCTCTGCTCCACTGTATTTGTAGTTGTTAACCTGTCCTGTCCTGTAACTCTGATGGGCACATCACTGCGTCCCCTGGGAGGCAAAGATGGCCAGAAACGAGGAGTCTGCTTGGTTGGTGGAGGTGAAGAATCGCTAGGCAGGTCCAGAGAAGAGAAGGAGGAGGAGTAGCCGATGACGGTCTGAGCATCGGCAAAATCGATGATGGAGGTGAGCAAGACCAGGAGCATGAGGGACATGGGAGCCATGGTCTCCCTCTGAGCGCTGAGCAGTGACTGGTTCCTCTGGAAGTCTGTTTGTCACACCATCCTTTCACTGCGTTTCTGCTGAGAAAAACAGGAATTGTGTTAATTTCGTGAACACATTACACAAGCACAGATATATGAAGCACTGCGAATATGTAGACACACCACACAGGTGCGGGAAAGGTGTTTCAAAACCTACTTATATTGCATCAGATCAATCTAAAAGGTTTAACTTCTGAGTGGCGATTCCAGTATTCTTACTGATTTACCAGCAGAGGTCTGAAGCGCGTCATAACAGGAATTGTGAAGCAAGAATTTTTGGTCATATCTGATTTAAAGATTATGTGCTGTAGCCGTTGTTGTACTGATTCAGAAGGTAGGTCAGTGAAACTCCCACTGTTTTAGGAGCATGACAACAGCAGACACACAGGGTGTGGTAAGGTGTATGGTTACAGAGGACATGGGACACATAAAAGCATAAGTTCAGCTTGTAAGTTATATAACAAGTCACATTAAAACGATCGAGCCAGAAAAGAAAATCAAGTCACAGATGGTTTTACTGCGTGGCAGATGGACTTGTTAACTTTTGTCCTCACTAGCTGTTCCATAAAACTGATACTTCTTTGGGGAGAGTATCAGTTCCTTTCTCCTTAATAATCTTCAGTCCAAGCATCAGGACTCTGCTTTCTTTATTTGCTGTTATGTTTAAGCCGTGGATGCCAGAAGCTGACAGCAGTAACACCGAGTGTGGTGAAGCTCAGGGAGCCCAGTGACACGTAGAAACCCCCAGGCCCTTGAGGATTACACAATCCTACGAGTCATCTTGCCAAACAGCTGGCAGGCACGTCCCCTAAACAAGCTGCTCTTGTCCAAAAAAACCCACCCCTTTTCTTTCTCTCTTACTTATATAAATCTCCCTTCACACCAGTTTCTACCTATGACTCACAGCAGAAGACAACCTCAGGGATGAGAGTCAGGACACTACTGCTGAAACGTTAGGAGGGAAAGTACAGAAAATAGACATCGGTGCCTATGGGGGAATTCATTCTGCTGCTGATGAATCACCTAGGGTCCATTCACAGGCACAATGTTTAGGTCTCAGAGGAATTACTGCAACTCCACACCACGGCTGACGTTCATTTTGTGTTCATGAACATATGCAGTGTGTGAGTAATCTGTGTGAGTGTACGGAAAATGTGTATAAGTATGTGTGAGTCCGCACCATGGGTGAGACAACACACTGTTGATATGTGAGGAAACGTATACTGGTCTTTTGCAAAACACAATTTCTCACATGGGAGCTTCTGAAGGGAAAAAACTGCCAATGAGTATGGTAACATAAGTGCTTATAGATCTCAATCTCCACCCACTCACAGTAGTCTCTGTTTATTTTCTTTCTAGTCTCACCCACCTCTTCTGCTCTGTCTTGTCAGATTTTGGCCAACTCTAATTTACCCCCCTTTTCTTTTCTCTCTTTTTATCCCTTATTTAACCAGAGCTGGTTTAGCAAAGGGGTTACTGAGAGAGTCCTAACAATAGAGCGATGAGTGGGGGGAAAAAAGATGGTAGATGTAAGAATGTGGAGATAGGAAAGTGGTTCAAAAAGAGTTTGGCCAGGAGGGGAGATGGAGATGGAAGCCTGGCGTGATAAGTTAAAGCACGGGTGTCCAAACTTTTTTCCAAGGGTGCCATATTTATTAATGGAAAATTACCCAGGGGCCAACAATTCTTCTTGCCTTTTTGGAAGCATAAATACAATTTATTTTCAATAACACAAAAGCTGTCATTACGGTGATCAGGAGAGTTTAAGCCTTAACAAAAAAAATGTACTTTTCATTCACATATGGAGAGAAAATAACAAAGATCAAGCTGTCGGGAATACCTGTAACTTCAGTGAAGCCGCTGAATATCAGTATCTCAGGTCAATTTTAAACGAGACTTAGATAAAACACATGGTCTGAAAATCGAGGGGCTATAAAAGATCTGACCTAGGGCCGCGATTGGCCCCCGGACCGGACTTTGGACATGCCTCAGTTAAAGGGGTCCGGGACAAGATTAAGACTGAGAAAAGCAGTGAGAGCTGTAAAATTTAGACTAAGATTGAGTGAATGCCGATAGTAAGGATATAAATATCTGAGAAAAAAGAGAGTCACACAGAAACTATGTTTCAGGATTAACGGGTTTGTTATGGAGAGCTGACACGGCCATTTATCCAGGAAGCCATGTGGAGAAACTGATCCTACTTCACCTTTCTTCTGAGGTTAACTGGCAGGTGTGCAATCTCTGGCACAAGAACATGAACAACCTGACTATTACCACATATCGTTTAGTAAATATACCATTATCTTGATCTAAAAGCAAACCAACATGTGTCAGTCTGTGTGTATGAGGGGAAGCAGAACAGAATAATGAGTCTCAAATGGCATTTGGCTTTAGTGGCAAGGGAGTAACATTCTGCTGCTGTATTTGAAACGCTGTCAGCATTAATCTCATCTCCACACATCATCCAAAAGAACACAGTAACACACACACTGAAGCGGCTCTCCAAAAATGTTCTCCTTCACTGGATTTGAGCAGCGTGACTAGGAATTTCCACTGAACTAATACGAGTGGAGTAAATTTAAGCAGAAAGACACCTCCTCGAAGCCTACGGACAAGCACATACTCCACAAAGCCTAGATCAGTGCGATCATCGATTCCGGGCTAGTGTGAATACTGCATCCTCTTAGCCCATTTTTAACACACAGTCAACACACATACACAAATAAGACAGTGCATCTCTCTGTGACTGTCCATGGAGGGAAGGCAGACGTGTGCATGGTCTGAGTATTTTTATCGTGTTCAGCCCCCGGGGGCCACAGACAGAACACATCACTCTGTATTTCATCTGCACTGTGTTGAGCATGGTGTGTAGATGTCGTCACACTTTCCTGCACAATGTGTGCTTTGTCCAGAGCAGGAAATGCCCATGGATTATATATCCAATAGTACAGCAGCATGCAACAATCTGAAGATTACTGTAAACTGCTTGCCCACACTATAGACCTGCAGGTTATACAATCATATGATTCAGTACTACAACAGCTGTTACTAATCAGTTACTAACCATTGCAATTGTGATGTCACGTCTACAGTAATGTATTACAATGCAAGGCAAGCTACTGCTTAAAGTTTGTGTAGGGAACCGGGCGGGGGCTTTGATCATTAAAGTCTTTGGAGAATCCCCCTCTTTCTTGCTTATGTTCTCTCTCACTTGCTGCCAGATTGAAGACAGTCTGGCAGAGCAACATTCCCACTGATTTGAGTGGACATTTCAGTGTAAGTCTGTGAACAGAAGGATTTGTGTCTTTCAGTCTAATGTGCACTTGTCAGGTATCACACTTCAATACTTCTTAATGCAACGTGTTCATCGGGACAGAGTATAGATAACTGTCCAGTGCTGAAAGTGAGCACTCAAACACCAAGGTCTGATTTGCACTTGTGTTTACTTGAATTTTTCCAAATCAAATCACATTTTTTTTATTTATTTAGAGTAGATTGTTTTAGGTGATAGTCTTTCATGCTGGCTCGTACTTCTTCTGAAAAGATTTGTAAAGAAAAAAAAAAGTTTTTGTTCTCAGTAACTGATACCTTCAAGCAACCAGGCTGTTTGTTGGGTCATCTCTGAACCCAAATAAGTCTAAAAGGGAAAATAAGTCAAATTTAATGATAAGCCATCCATTAGTTGGCAAGATATTTCAGATACAACCTCCCTGTGGCGCTAGTGGAAAAAAATGTAATGAGCTTACTGCCACTGCCATTCGTATGGCTTAAAATCAAACATAGTCTCAATCTGTTTATATGTGAAGATACGATCACTTGTGCTACATCTATGTCGGTATAGGTAGGCCTCTCAACTATAGACAAAGATCTCTGATATCTTAGTTGACCTGTAACATTCAGTGTTGATGTGAGCGTCTTGTGAAGAAGGCTTACTTATCAGTGAAGCGTTCATCCTCAGAGAAGAACTCAGCCAAGAAGGAACACTTTTGTTATGATTCGTTCTGGAAAAACCCTCTTCTTCTTCTTTCAGCTGCTCCCTTCAGGGGTCGAATCATCTCCCTCCATCTTACCCTATCCTCAGCATCCTCTGCTGTCACATCAGTCTTCTGCATGTCCTCCTTCACTACCTCCATGAACCTCCTCTGAGGTCTTCCTCTTTTCCCCCTGTCCGGTAGCAAAGTATTAAACATCCATTATCCAATATAGCCACTATCCCTCCTCTGCATATACCCAAACCATCTCAGATTTGCTTGGTAACTGGCCACTCCCAATGAAAATCTCATGGGAAGAAAACTTTAAAAAAATTTAACTTGTAGAAAGAAAGAAAGAAAGAGGCTGAATGAATAACCAAAGACTGGTGTGTCACTGTGTAACTGCTCACACATCAGCATACTCTACAGATGTATAACTTGTTTGTACTGCATATTGGTGGGTGGAGAAGTAGGACTGTGAAGCAGTGTGTGTGAATTAGTGTGTATGTGAGACAGAGAGAGAAAAAGTCAGAGGGGGGAAATGAAAGAGGGAGTAAGTGTGGTTACGTTGGTATGCAACAAGTGGGGGAGGTCGCTGGTTTGACCGTTAAAAAATTCCTCACCTTGAAACAACATATGGATTACAAACAACTCTCAACTTGCCACCACATAAAATGTATTTATTAAAAAGTCCCTAAACTGATCGTTTTAAACTATTTTTGATACATTTAAAGCCATGACCAAACTCTTTACATACATTATAGACTAACACCATCCATTTATCTCTTGATGCAAACCACAGCCTGTTAAAGATGCTTCTCTTGGGGAGAGGGGGGGTCTAAACTACAGCAGAGTAACCGACCACACACCATAGACATGCTATATGAGGAGGAGAGGGTCCTGAACCAATCGCCTATGTCTTTGATCCCCAGTTGAAGCGGATGTCCCGCTTAAAATTGCTGAGCCCCACAACATCTTTGAGTCATGTTACGCCTTCACACGAGCCACAGATCAAAGGCTGAAGGTCAGGCATAAAGGCTAAGGCCCCAAACCGCACTCCACACATACAAAGAGACACATCTAGATACACAAAAATAAAACACAGATTGCCAATATTAATATTTGAGAGGTGATAATGGTGAAAAAGTCAACCAGATTGGACAAATATTCACAGCTTGGGAGGAACCTTAATTTCAAATTAGCACTCACACGTTAAACACTAAACACGCCCTGAAAGATAGCGAGTCTGATGACAGACTAAGATCACTGCCAAACCGTGTCAAGCCGCAAAACACTTTCAGGAAAATCAACTGCAGGCATCGCAAGTCATAAACTCTTGGCCTTTTACTGAACCGCGGCTTTACTTAAACCCCAGACACTCACACTGTTACATGCATGCAATAAAACTGTGTTGCGTGGCAAATTACTGAGTTTTGCAAGCAGGCTGTGTGCAAAATAATGTAAGCAGCTATCATCTGCATGGACATTTTTGATTTATAGTTACAAAACATTTATTGCATCTTTTATCTTCCCACAGATAATAAAGACCCAAATAAGAGATGTGGGCAGATCAGCTTCTGGGATGAATGCTTCACTAATATCTTAAGCTATGCCTTATTTTCTAAAAGGCTGACAGTTCAGGGCTGTATAATTATGGGATGTTTTAACTGTCCTGCTTGTTTAAAGTTCTCTGGTCGAATATGAGTGACTACTTGTAGTTATAGCGCACCTTTTATGGGCTTTATTGTCTTTATGGAGCTTCTTTGGAAAAGGATAGGCCTTTTTTCCCCCTCTGTGTGTTGGTTCCTTTTTGAAAATTAGTTCTGTTGCATTTCTTTCTGCTCGACTACATCCACCAGCACTCTGGAGCAGCTCATTGAAAGACGCACTCCACTTCTTCCTCCTCACCTTCCACTTAAATCCCGATGAGGCATGGGTGTGAATCCAGACCATCTAAACTAGGGCCGCAGCGCTTTTGCGCATATGGCTTTGTTGGACGAGCCTGCTATCCTGTGTAAACACACTTAAAAACACATGTCGAGCACCTGGCAGCAAGGGACAAATAAAGAGATAACAGGGCCCACTCCACTTGTTGCTGTGTCACCAAAGAAAACAGCCTTTTTGCATGCTTACTGCCTATTGAGCCTAAACAATTTCCTTTTACGTTTGAGTGATTTTAAATGAATTATGTCCCAATTATTATTATTATTGTTATTACGGGGTGATTTAAGACCAGCTGTATATATTTCATGTTGTTAGTTATGATGAGCAGTAGTAACGACGTCACGTTGCCGTCCTGACTGCGGGGACACGCGGTCGCGAATGGCTTTAATTGGCAAAATTCACCCAAACTGCCGCTTTTTCTTACACGATGTGAGATGGGGGTGATAAGGCAGTACTCCCTCTAACTTCGCACATAAAGTTCAGCACCGCAGAGGAAACCAGGTACAGGTAGAGGGCAAAGATTAACGTGCAGCGTATGCTCGCCTGTAAACCCGAGCCAACGGCTGACATCGCGGCACAGGTAGAGACAGCGTCACGCATATCACTGCGCAAAGACGTCTAGCCGCATAGCAGTCAACCAATAACTGTTACCGTGAGGGTTTGTCCGTTACAAGCAACAAACAAACATACCTGCGGGTCTGCGAGGCTCCGAGTCGATGGCGTCCGCTGCGGCAGGGCTATCAGGACTAGGACATCCTGAAGTGAAAGCAAAGGTGTCGTCCGGGTCTACCTCGCACGCAGGATAACAACCGCCGGCGGTGGAGGTTCAAACCGCTCCTCTACGGGCACAAAGAGAGGTTGCCTTTCAGCAGCGTTGTATCGTTGCCAGCTTTCTAGCCACGAGCGACTGAGGAGATGTACGCCCCCTCCGACTGCTCCATCTCTCTCCAGATCGCTCCCTCCCTCTCATTTTTTCCTCTCTCAAAAGCGGATAAACGCGACTGCCTACCTGCCAACCTTCCGCTTGGCACGCCTGTTACGCAATAGCAATAGGACGCGCAGCTGAACCTGAGCTCCTTGTCACCCCGTCTACCTTTACAAAGCAGCGTGTTTAGACGATGCCCAGTGGAAATATGACGACACTGCCACTGACATCATCACACAGCTTGCTGTAGTATCCAGGTTCTGGGGTTTTTCCTTGGATTATAGCTGAAAATTGGCTGTTATGAGTTAAACCTAGCCGATAAAGTGGCCGGGAAGAGGAGTGGAAACAAATTCATATTTGCGTGGACAGGTGAGGATACACCTGACATTTCTCTGTGCAGTACGGACTGTCAGTTCGGTGCTTGAAACTCTAGCCTCCAGCTCCTCTTCACTGCCCTCCAACCGGGCTTTTGTAGAGGGGAGGAAGCCAGCCTGAGCCAAGCTGATACAGTTTCCTCGTGCTGCACCCTGGCTCAGTGCCTTTCCTTCACCCACCCCTCGCCTGATTGTCTCTCTCTCTCTTGCACAAACAAAACATTTTCTAGTTTGGACATGCTGTTGAGGCTGCAGCTTTGCGGTGACTGAGACCAAACACAGACATAAATTGACAAGTTTACTGCAGACATTAATCCTGCTTAGGAGCAGGTCTCATTCCCAATCACCTGTGTATTTGTCACTTTCGCTATATTGTCTGGACAGTACATCTGAGTCCTAAAATATCCTGTGCAGCTCAGAGGATTGTTCCTAATGCCATTACATTATTACTGAGCAAGCAGGAGACACGTAAGGGTTGGACAGGTGGCGCACACACATTTCTGCATTGTTATCACATTATTGTACACTACCTGGATTATATCTAATCCAGGTAGGGAATGAGTAACCTAACCCTGCATACTTTAAAGCACCAACCAAATATAGAAGATTAGGCAATGGGTGTCAGCCTGATTAGAATATAAGTACAGCAGGTATTTTTTGCGTCTCACGAGTACTATATAGCCTGAATTGAGTGTTGTCAATGTAAGTAAGGGATTAAATTCACACGTTTATTATAATTTGTGGCCAATATAATATATTCTTATTGGGTCTGTCACCTTCTCTATTATTTACTTCACTTCCTACCAGACATGGGGACCCAGGGGTGTTTCCAGAATTTTTTACAATCAGGTGGCACTAGGGAGTCCAAACAAACAGGTCGGGAATTAAAAATAACAAATAAAACTTGAAAAAATATAAAAAGCAAACAAAAGCAGTTGGAAACTGGCTGAAAATTAGATTTTAATGTGCACAGACCACCTGCCTCCATAAAAACGCATTAGGAGACACAGCTACCCTGTAATAGAGCTAATAAAATATAGTGTGGTTACAAGAGTAAATGTGTGTCATTTTACTACTAGAAGTAAAAGTAAATAACAGTGTCTTACACATTCTTTGTTTACAGCTTTCAAAGTAAGGAATTAGGGAATTATAGTGGACCAAACCACTGCAAAGTATATGAGTGGGAGTCCATCTCTGGAGCTTATCCCAGCTGTCATGGAAGGCAGGCAGGGTACACCCCGCAAAATTTGCCAGTTTGTCACTTTAACTGCATGTAATAATTATTCATCATTACATAATCACATATTTACACAATGAACCTCTTTGGCCATGCTATAATTTCCACCCTTGGTTACACAGCAGGGGTGCGATCAAATTCTGGGGTGGCGCATAAAAAAATACATTTTTTAAAAAACAGTTTTCTCTAAAATATTTTCATACCAATTTTATGTCATTACAGGTATTATAAGGAGTTTACTTATTGTTGATTATTTAAAAAGAAATTCAAATTGAAATTCAGGTACATTTGTATTCATATTTTTCTTTCAACATGACATATGAGTTTTTCATGTTTCTTGCTACTTTCATGCCGTATTTTTCTGGCTCATTTTTCTGGCTGTGGTATTCCTGTTAGCAAAGATGTATTTCTATCATTGTGATGTTGCGTATGTCAACAAATAAAAAAAAAAATGCCTAGATGCTTTCGCTTTCTCTCGTCTGAACTTTGAACGGGCGGGACCTCAGGGGTGTTCATAAGAGGTCGGTTTCTCACATAATCATGTTGAGTTTAAACTGAAAGTTTCTTCTTCTTCTTTTTTAAAGGCATGCCCCAACAAGAAGTGTCTTTTCAACGGTTCTCCCCATTAGACATTAACCCACAGCATTCACAAGCATTTAATAGCAGCTGACACAGAAGACTTGCCAGGTGTGGTCGTGGTTGTCATCTTCACCTGAATTGTCTAAACATGAAGATTTTATTTGCTTAAGACATACCTCTACGTTTGCTTTTATACAAGTATCACATTACTGATTTTCCTCACAAAGACGAGAATCACTCTGAAAAAACATGTTCTCATTTTCAGTTAAATAATTATAATTTCCCTTGACGGAGAAAGAAATGACCCAAATTGCATGACTATGCTTACATCCACAACATCTGTTCCTTTAAAACAAGCAAACCATGTAGATTACATGTATATGGAGCTGGAAGCCATTAAATCATATGAGAGATTTTGAGTGGGCATTAAATACAATCAGAGGAGGGTTGTATTTAAACCTCACTAATTTAACTTGCCTTTAATGGCAAACAGTAAACCACACATAAAGCTCCTGCTACCCCACACCCATAAATACTGTGGGTCATATTTCTATACCACCTTTGTACAGGAATGTGGTGAATACGTTCCACTTAGTCATTTGAATTGATACTGGTAGGGGTGCTGAAATATAACCCTGAAGCAGACAACCTGTTTCTTCCTCCCAATTTATAAGGGATTAAACCTTAATCGCAGCAAGCCAAGCATAGATCCCATCAGATGGTAGAAAGTATTAATTTTCTCCACAAAATAAGCCTTTTTCTTTAAGAACAGCCAACACCTTCATATGCTAACGTCCATCCACACACTCATGAGTTAGAAAAGCTTAAGATCTAAAACACTGCTGCTCAAAGTCTTTCTCTCTGTGGCTTCCCTTCACCCATAAGATTGTCTAGGCTCTAGAGAATAATCTCCCCATCTCTGGGCCCCCAAAACAGACTTCCATGTGGGGACTGCTATCCTGTCCATCACAGCTGCATCCAACAGCATTAGATTACACCACATCTAGTAAATCAACACAGTTCTCTTTAAATTTGATCCAGTTTAGCTAGTCTGTCAGATACTGTTATATAATACTGCCTGTTACTAATCAGAAATAATAACATCCATCACTTTTACTGGGAGACAGAAAATGTGGAGGTAAAGCACACAGAGACCACTTTTGAGCTCACAAAGAGGAGAAACAGAATCAGAGCTCAAATAAAAATAGTTCTTCAGACAGAGTATTTCAAAGTTTTTCTTTGGACATTAGCTGCTTTTTCACCTTTTTTGGTTTTCGCTTTTGTTTTGTACCTGAATATTTTCAGAGGAATGTTTTGTAGTTGTTAAACCACTTAACACTGACCTGTGAATCATTAAAGCACAGAAAACTCAACTGGAATGAATCAGTGTTGTGTCTACAAATAACAGAAAACCTAGCAAACAGGGAAAAAAGTTTCTTCAATTTGTTACTAACAATCTGCTACAAAAACACATCATTTGTTGCAAATTTTCTCTCACCAAATCTGCAAAAAATGCCACTGGCATAAAATTTCCAAAGATTTCCAAACACATTTATAGCTGATGATATCTGAAAGTCATTTCCTTAAGAATGAGGGAAAAAAGACAAATATACACCAAAGCTCAAATGTCCTGCAAAGCAGACACTGAAGAGCTTGTCTCTAAGTAAAACAGTGCAGTGTTTGCTAACGTGAATCGTCCAGCATCAACTCAGACAAACATAAAAGTGTGCCAGTACGGTACGACGATGTTTCCATCCACCTCACAAAGATGCACTGAAATCTTCAACACAGTCACGTTCCTTTGGCCAAAAATGTGTGTCCATTAAACATAGTGAGTAACGAAGGCTTCGGGAAAATGGTCATTATACTGGACAAAAGATTTATTGTCCCTCCAAGCAGTTGTTTTTCCAAAGTGGAAAAACCTGCATGGTACACAAAATGTTGCAGAACTAGTCCTGAAGACTACTTAAAGAAATGACAGCGAGTTCAGTTAGAATTATACTAACCCTGTTTTTGTCTTATATACTAAATTTCCACATTTGCTCATTTCTGTAAATCACTCCAATCATTTTCCTAACAAAATATAATGAAATGAGGGGTGGCTTGAGACTTTTCACAGCACTGCTACGCACATTTTTTTTAATATTCTTAATAGTATATGTGTACTTGAAATGTCTATATTCAAATGACATATTTTTTTATACTGTGGTTAATCATTTCCTGCTGTAAGATTAGTTTTGATTTATAACCATCTGGACAAAACCTGCAAAATTAAATAAAATCACAGGTGAATTAGGTCTATGTATACAATTATGGTATAAACTACTAACTATACAAGTGTGCCAAAGCTTCTGTACTGGATCGGATTAAAATCTATGAATGTACCTATATGAGAGAAAATTCAGTAGTATAATTATAATTCATCACTATCATGCATTAATCTGGGAATCTGATATGACAACGGGTTTCCCAAACTTCTCTGTAGATCAGGTGCGATAAAAACAAGCTACTATATGCAGCTTATGATCTGTTTCAGGAAATTGAGTTAGGCCTTCCTCATTTACTTGAGCTCTAAATGTGGGGCCCTCTGGTGCTTCTGAAAAGTAATGACCTTCTTATTACAGAAAGTAGGCACATGGAGATGTCCTTTTAACTGAACAATACCCCAAGGACAGAACACAAGCTGAGACCCATCTCTTACATAATACACAGGCCACTGTTGTGTTGTTCTAGCCTTTGTGTGTCAACTGAATATCCTGCCCCTACCTCCAGCATACTTTCACCCATCTCCCCTTTGTGCTCTTTTATTAATTTTTGCTTCTCTCGGCTCTATTTTTATTCTGTCTTTCTTCTTCAGTGTGACTCTGCCCTAAAGCTGGGGCCCAGCTTCTGCCCAGCTCAACCGGAATGGGAACGAAAGCTGACTCACATATTCATTAACTCACATGGCTGCACTCTCGTCCACAAATAAAACACTTCTATGGATGTACGCGCACACACGCACGTGCGCGCACATATGCCAAAACTGGACATACTTGTATATGATGCACCTACACGCTTAAGCGTACATATGAGAAATAATTTCTGGAGCTTCACACTAAAGTACACAGCTGCGTATAATCTCAAGAAACAAGAATAATGCATAGTCATTGCTGTAAAGGGACAGTGAAGTCAGGCAGCCCAAGAGACATTAACATGCCGTCACTAGACACAGTCACAGTCACCCCAAGCACTGACAGCAGATAACTGCAATCCCTGCTATAAAAAGACCAGCTGACACAGTCAGCCAGTGCCTATACATAACATACAGACCCTACAGCCCTTCACAGCAGCCCGTTCTAATGGCATTTCATGATCTAACAGACAGAAATATTATTTTGGTGTAAGGAATGCATTTTAAAGAAACACAGCACCACTTTGCCATGCTGTGACCTTTTCCAGCGTGCACGCAATTGCCGTGACGCATTAGTACTTATTGTAACAAGAGCCAGGCGGCCTGAGAGAAAGTATTCACCCAGGAAGAAAGTGCAATTTGTTCTCAGATTATAAAACACTGTCTAAAACTGAATTCCCCACCATATAATTTCTTGGAGAGCACCATCTTCCATTGTGTACTGCCATCTAGGGGCCCTCTTCTGACAACGTTTTAGCAAAACTAAATGCCAATATGCTCATGATGACTTCAGTATTTTCAGAATTGAACCATGAAGCAAAAGCCAGAAAATTCAAACTTCTGATGAAATTTTGAAAAATATATAAATTAAGTATGAATTTGCATATATTAGTTTTAATTTGTATCATATTTCTATATCCAGCATGTTTTTTGGTAAATTATTGCCTAAAAATGTAGTGTGAAATTTATTCACACTTGTATGTATGATGGCTGTGATTCTGCTGGTATCAACATTTTACAGAGAACAAAAAGAGTGTGAGGTACTTATTTTTTATTGTAAAAAAAAATCATTAGTGTGCTCTGTTTGTTACAGTGAAGTGATGCTACAACACAATTATATAAAAACCCGAGAAAGAGAAAATGATCCATTTCTCTCTCAACATTTCATTTCACGTCACATGATGCTGAACATGCACAGTGTGTGCAAATGTGTGGTTTTGTAGCCTGATTTGAATCTCAGGCTACAAAGCCGGTAATGCGTTTACCTCACATTACCGGCTCTTTCTTAACAGAAATCTTTGCTTTCTTGTGACATGCTGGCTTGGCTTTCAAGTTCCCCACGGTTCCTGTACATTCAGTTTTTACTTTAGTCTTTTTGCATGGCATTTTTTCCTCTTCACCATCTTCATCTTTCACTGGTTGCTTTAGATGTGCCATCTCTTTGAGGCTTTGGAACTTCTTGAGGTCTGAACAAAACAAAACCTGAAGCAAGAGAGACACTCTGTGGTTACAGGGGACCTGCTATAAGAGACAGACAGTTTGCAGAAATTGACACTCACAGACTGCGCCCAGCCAGCGTAGGGTCCCCACAGCTTTCGAAAAAAATCTCCTGTGTAGAAATATTAAATTGAACATTTTATTACCAGTATTTAAAACCAGGGCTTAAACCATACCATTAAACAGGTATGTGAATACTGACCAATATCTCTGTTTAGTTTCTCTGTGATACTCTTCTGTCCATTGTTGGCAGCGTATTTATAGTCACGTTTAGCAATCTGCCACACATGTGTGTCAACAGGTACAGCCTCTGGCTTATCCAGGGACATCAGACATACACAGTCTGCCACCTAAAATATGACACAAAGCCTTGATTGTATGTTAGCAGTTAACATCACATTTTTTTTGCCTTTTCTACCCCCAAAAATATCTGCTGTACCTTTGTACCAACGCCAGGAAGAGTGCGAAGAGCATCACGGGCCTCTAGATATGGGATGCTGCGTAAACCTTCAAGCCACTGGGGCCCATGGTTGTCCAGAATCTGCTTCGCACTCTGCTGGATAAACCGAGCCCTGTATCCAAAACCAAGATCCCTAAGACGTGCCTCTATGCTGCTGTCTGATAAGAACAGTAAATGAAACAACATACAACATAGTTGTGGTCAGAAGTTTTCACAAACTCATCATGGGCATGAATATCGTGGTAATTTGGGGCTTTTAAAGATTTCTTTGAACTGTTCTTTTTACAGATGTGGAAACACTATTTACTTTTCTATTACTATAAGGCCTGGAAGAATACCCAAACTGTCACCCTCGGATGAGAAGAAATTGGCTAGGACATTCAGAAATTTGCAGCTCACATGGACAAACCAACTGCTATCTGCAGGAAAGGTTTTATAGTCAGTTGAGATGAGGATTGAGCTTTTTGGCCACAATGACAGTAGCTATGTTTGAACGAGTAAAGGTGAGATTTTCATACCTAAAAACACTGTACCAGCTGTCAAGCGTGGTGGTGGCAGCATGATGCTCTGGGTCTGTTTTGCAGCAAATGATACTGGTAAATTGCACAAAGTGGATGGACTAATATGGAGGAGGACTACCTCCAAATTCTTCAACTTCATCTCAAATCAACAGCTGAAACTTGAACACAGTTAAATTCAAACTTGTCCACCTGATTCTTGTTTTTAAAGTCGGTAAAGATGTACACTGGGTGCTGGTTTAGTGAGCAGGTGACCATAAGTCATATGGCCAGAAATCAGCAGCCCGACCTGAGGCCCTTTGCTTTATGTCTTCCTTTCTCTCTCCACTTTCCTATCTGTTTCTACTATCATTAAAGGCAAATGCCAACAAAATTAATATAAAAAAAGATGAGTCAGTTAATGTTAATAAAAAAAACTAGTGGGATGAATATCTTCAGACTCTCAGTATCGTCTTCATCTGACAGTAAAGGTTTTGATAAGATTACAAACATAGATTTAAGTTCTGTGGCAAAACTTTTCAAGCACCTGCAAGCGCAGACAGGGAAGGAAAGTCGTGGTATGAGGTCTGATCAAGCTGGCACAGGGGTGAGCCCAGAGCCTGACACAGTCTGTCCACCATGCCCTGAATCCGAGAGATGTGGTTGTTGGAAGTGCAAATGAAGGAAAACAGGCATTCTGTGGGGTCCTGGCGCAACATTCGCACACCTGCAGGAAAACCCCCCCACAAAAAAGTATTTATGAAATTTGATAAAACATAGCAGTAACACCTTACTGTGTAATAAGTGATATGTAGTAGCAAGGCTGTGCAAACACAAACTCACACACTGACCTTTGAAGACCTCTGCAATGTGTTTGAAGTGACAATCTGCTGCTCCCCACTCCTTGTGCAGGTCCCCCATCCTCACATCCAGCTGGAAGTAATCTCTCAGCATCTCTTCGTCCAGCTCTCTATTCTGTACTGAAGAAACAGCCAAAGGCTCATCTTCTTCCTTCTCTGGAGCACATTTGAATCTCTTCTCTGCTGTATTTTTGTCCAAGACAGAAACACCAACTCTTCTCTTCCTGTCACTTCCCTCCTTCTGCTTGTCCTGGTTGTTGTACACGTGGTACCAAAGAGTCTCATCTGTTTGGGTCAGAGTCCAAACACGCCCTCCCATCACACCGGTCCAGTGTCCTTCTGTTGTTTCCCTCCATCTGCGGGAATGAGATGTGAGTTAATTCGAAGACTCTAAACCGCTTCAACTTGCATTTGATGTTTAAAGGCTGGACGTGATTTTGACCATCTTACCGGAAGGATTGTCCACACGCAAGAGTGAGATCGAGACGCAATTCGGACTTCGAACAAGACATAGACCTCCACATTTTTGATCCAGATGACAGCACCGCATGTTTGGCCATAATTCTGCTGTTTACAGTTTCTGTTTAGTGATTAATAACAAACTTTACAGTAAAGTCTTTTTAAACGCATAGTAGTGTAATCCGGCGTGTATGGTAGGTTACAATAATAAATACAGAAGTATTTTCCAGGAAGCTACGCGGCATTCCAGTAAATAACTTTCACGGAGATGTTTTGGCATAGATTATGATGGACGACAAAGACCTTACACTGAGTCGGAAAGGCGCAATTATTTTATATGAAAAGTTGTGAAAAGTATAAATTTTCCGTAATAATTGTTTAAAATATTATCTAGTATAGATAACAAGTAATGATCCTCAAAAATTCATATTGTCAGGAATTACTAAAATCTGATGCAACATCACCCAGATTCCGGTAACCCGTCCCTCACTGGTGTCAACACAAATCCTGATTGGTTCTTACGATCGTAGTAGGCGGTAATCTTAGTAAATCTCCTTCACGATTGGTCAGTGAGATCCAAACCCGCAGAATTCTATTGGCTAATATTCTTTGTACTTCACGTTTTTTTACTTTCCAGAGGAAGTGGTCTCTGGTCTCTCTTTAGGAAGCAAAGTCGTGTGTGGCGGTGGTGTGTCTGTGCTGTTCCGATTTTAACCGGTGAATTCGGCGGGATAATGGCAGATACGCTGACACTTTTCACGTCCATTGGACTCAGCGAGCAGAAAGCGAAAGAAACGCTGAAGAATGACTCGCTGAGTTCTTCCCTGAAGGAGGCAATTACTCAGGTTGGTCCTAACGCTTATGGTTTAACTCAACTACCTGAATGCACAGCTGTGAGAACGACTGACACTTGACTGTACAGCTCAGCTGTATACAAACTTCTCATTTATTTATGCTACCCTAGTTATCGTTTTAGATAGACCTACCCTGACCTTCTTGTAACTTTTGTGTACATTACGCCATAGTTACACTTTTACTTTCATATTTCTTTAGTTGGTAGTAAACCATCCATTATTTTATCTTTATTAGGCCCCCAGGGTCAAGATAAGGAAAGTAGTGATTATTAGCAATTTCCTTATTTGTCTTTAACAAATTCTTAATAATTCTTAAATTTCCTCTCTGTTTTCAATAGGCCCAACGTGTCCATGGGGCCTCAGGAGTGGACAAAGCCATGGGTACATTGCTGTACAGTATGGCATCTCGCCTTAAAGACACCAAACGCCTGGCATTTCTTTCAGAAAGTATAGCTCAGCGTAAGATCTGCACAGAACTACAGCTTGCAGGTAAATTATCAAAGTTTTGGAAGTCAAGCAAAAGTGAAAGTGAATGTCTACAAGATACTAGTGAGACCTGCTGTTTGGAAGTTATGGTACTCACAAAGATAACAAGAGGTCGAGCTGGGGGTGGCAAACTTCAAGATGATGTGATAATTTGGTTTAGAAATAAGTATATCAGAAGAGCAGGTCAGGTTGAGTGTGCAGTGAGCAGAGGAGCTGCCAGGAACAGAGATGATCCATAGATGTAGTGAAGGAGGACATCCAGAGGGTTGGTGTGATAGAAGAGGATGCTAGGGATCGGGTGAGATGGAAGTAGATGACCCCTAAAGAGAGCGACTGAAAGAAGGTCTGTTGTGGACCCAGTTTTAACCAGCAAAGTTTTCCAAAAATATTTTAAACATAATTTGTGCTCCAATTATATTATGATCTGAGTCGAATTACTGCAAATTTTTTTCACAAATTCTTTTTAAGCACAATATTTGTGAAATAAATATAAAGTGCTCAGGAAAAAATACTCTGAAAGCAACAAGGAATACTAATGTCGATGATGGACCAAATCAAAGAACTAAAAAACCCAATTAAGGAGAAAGACAAGACAATCCAGTTTTTGGAAAGGAAGGTGGACGATCTAGAACAGCAGGCTCGACTTGAGGAAGTGATTATTACGGGTCTGGAAACTAAACACAGGAGTTATGCGAGAGTCACCGAGTCTGGGACCGGTGCAAAAAGAGGAGAAGACAAGCCCTCGACGGAGGAGCTACAGTCGTTGGAACGGGAGGTTGTGGAATTCTTTTCGAATAAAAAACTTCCCCTGCATAGTAATAATATATCTGCATGCTATACCCTTCCTAGGAGGCACACTAATGCTCCTCCAGCAATTGTAGTGAGATTTGTAAACTGTAAACACAAAGTTGACTTGCTGAGGCGGTCCAGCCTTTTGAGAGGAAGCGGAGTATATTTGAATGAACATCTTACAAAAAGAAATGCAGATATTGCTAGACAAGCTCGCATATTACGGAAGGAGACAAAGATTCAAGCAACCTGGACCAGGAACTGTAAAGTGATGATTAAACTTAATGGAACACCAGTAGAAGCCAAGGTTATAACGATTAAGGATCTTGGGGAATTGGACATTTATACGAGATAACATTACCAAGATAGGCAGACGGTTACGACCAATCATGGCTATGAGCTTAAAAACAATTAGTTCATCCTTTACAAGAACAGATGCTACTTCGGGTGGAAAAGGACAAAAGGAAGTTGTAAATTGGACATGGAAGAAGATAAGATCAACGGACTTTAAAATATGTCGATAAATAAATGTGCGATTGTTAAGGATCCCTTTCTTTTTTGAGGTCAAATAGTTATTCTTAGAATAATTATGCATAATGCTCGATGACTCAGATCATAAACCATATGATTTTGAAGCAGGTATTGACCCTGAAAGGAATGTGCTTAATACAATTAATGTCACATGTAAAGATTATACAGAGGAGCAATTCAGGGATAAGGTTGAAATAGCTAATACATTTTCATTAATTCATATTAATTGCAGAAGTCTTTATAGAAGTTTTGCTTCGATTGAAGATTTTCTGTATAGTTTGAGAGGCAAGTTCCAAATAATTTCTCTGTCTGAAACATGGGGTTGGGGTTGTCATTTTTGTATTAAAGGGTACGATTTATACTTTGTAAATAGAACTAAGAAGAAGGCAAGTCCTTCTTTTGACCCATTTTGCCAAAGGAAAGGAAGTTGCCTAATAATTATGCACACCTGATATAGGGTGTTGATGTCATTAGACCACACCCCTTCTCATTACAGAGATGCACATCACCTAATATGCTTAATTGGTAGTAGGCTTTCGAGCCTATACAGCTTGGAGTAAGACAACATGCATGAAGAGGATGATGTGGACAAAATACTCATTTGCCTAATAATTCTGCACTCCCTGTGTGTGTTGTGTGTGTGTGTGTGTGTGTGTGTGTGTGTGTGTGTGTGTGTGTGTGTGTGTGTAGTGTGGGTGTGTGTGTGTGATGTGTGTGTGTGTCTGTGGGATTAAACTATATACAGGGGTGCACATAAGTGGTCTGCAGGTGCACATTCGCTGTCAAAGTAAAAGACGCGCACCAGATAAGAAGTTGCAACGCCAGTTTGCGTACATAAGATTTTCTGGAGGAGGACAGACATTTGATTAGAACTCTTAAAGATGTCGAAGAAGCAAGCTCCTTTAAGCAATTAAAGGAGCTTGCATGGTGGGAATCTCTCACTCCATTAGTTCTCTTTGGTGGTCCTCCACCTCCAAAGAAATGCCAGAAAGAGTCCGAACCGCAAAAGAAGTGCGTATACTCAGAAAAGTGGTTGCAGGAGGTGATATAAATACTTATAAAAATAAGTTGGTATTAATATTGAGGAAAGCCAAGAAAGACTATTATAATAAACTTTTTCAGGAAAACGAGAATAATATTAAGGGCATTTGGAATATTTTTAAAGAAGTATTGGGTAACAAGAACACACCCTCAGATCGGCCTATTTATTTCACTAAGAATAATCAAGTTGTCGATGACAAGATTGAAGTAGCAAACGAATTCAGTTCCTTTTTTGTAAATGTTGGACCTACTTTAGCAAATTTATTTAGAAAAAATGACGACCCAGACTATGAGGAAGTCTGGAAAGGAGAAAGTAGAGTGGTTAATTCCTTATTCTTAGCTGATATTACCATAAAAGAAATAGTAGCAATTGTAGAAAACTTAAAAAATAAAAAATCTACTGACTGTGATGGTATAGACATGATTATAATTAAAAAGACTTTAGACTGTATAAGTATTCCTCTTTGCTTTATTTTTAATCTCTCGTTACAATCAGGAGTATTTCCTGATCGTAAGTGGCAAAAGTGATACCCTTATATAAATCAGGAGATAAGCATAGTTTTAACAACTATAGGCCAGTGTCTCTTTTGTCACAGTTTTCAAAAGTGCTTGAAAAACTTTTTGCGCAAAGACTTGATAGTTTTATTTTTTTTAAAAATCAACTAATAAATGAAAATCCATTTGGATTTCGTAAAAATAGATCAACGGCATTAGCATCATTGACGATATTTCATCTGCAACCCATAATAATAAATACACAGCTGGGGTATTCGTTGATTTAAAAAGAGCTTTTGACACGTTACAACATTCTATTTTGATTTCTAAGTTGTATAATTATGGTGTGAGATCAGTGGCATTGAATTGGTTAAGGATTTATTTAGAAAATATGTACATTATCTCGGCAATACCTCTGAAAGATTGAAGATTGTATGTGGCGTTCCTCAAGGTTCTGTTTTGGGACCTAAGCTTTTTAATTTATATATTAATGATATCTGTGATGTATCAAAAAGGTTAAATTTTATTTTATTTGCAGATGACACAAATTGTTATTGCTCTGGAGAGAATTTGAAAGATTTGGTTGAAATTATGATTTCTGAGATGTTAAGATTAAAAAAATGGTTTGATATAAATAAATTATCTTTGAATCTGACAAAAACGAAATTCATGTTATTTGGCAATTGTGTAAAGGAGGAAGAAGTCATTATGTCCATTAATGGAGAATTGATTGAAAGAGTTACTGAATTTTGCTTTTTGGGTGTAATAGTAGATGAAAATTTGACATGGAAATCACATATTGAGTATATTAGAAAGGAAGATGGTTAAAAACATTTATATTTTGGGAAATGTAAGAGATTTATTAGACTACAAAACAATGCGCATTTTATATTTTTAACTTTTTTTCTTATACTTTAGTTACTGTGTCAAAGTTTGGGGAAATACATATGAGAATACTATAAAACCTCTAAACTTATTACAGAAGAAAGCACTACGAATGATTCATAACGTTAAATATAGAGAACATACAAATAAATTCTTTATAAAATCAAAATTATTAAAATTAGGAGATTTAGTGAAACTACGGACACTATTAATTATGTTTAAGGCTAAAAATAATATTTTGCCTTTTAAGTTACAAAGAGTATTTTTAATGTGTTCGGGGGGAGAAGACAGCAGAAGGAAATTTTATTTTAAGCAGCTAGGACTACACAAAGATTAATGAGTCCAACGGTTAGGGGTATATGACTCTGTATAAATTTACATTGTTTGAAAAAGTGTTACATGTCTAAAACGATAACTCAATATGAAGAATGTGAATGAAATTGGAGTTAATTGAAAAAGGATCCATTATTTTTTTGCCTCATTTATTTTATTTACTTATCTTTTCTCCTTGTTACTATGTGGAGTGGTATATTCTGATTGTAAATTGGTTGTTTGGTTTGAGATCCTTAATTAGAAAATAATGACATCCCACAGCTCAGTTACATCATCATTATATCCTTATTGCTTCTCGTCTTTGTGATGCGTTCATGGTGCACATGTAAAGTTGCAGTTGCAGTATTTTAATATCTAGAAAGCAACTGAGGAGGAGCAAGCATAAACATCATAACATTTTTGTTTGTTTGTCTGTTTTTAAGTGGCATGTAATTTGAAATGTAACTCTTCAAGCTGCTCAAATATCAGCAAACACACAAACATTGTGATTTCGCCTATTTAAATGATTATTTTAAGGTGATGAATGGATTAGGTTCACTCACCAAATTTTATGTTTTGTACTAGTTTTATAGTATCTAGGTGTTGGTAAATCAGCAATATACCCTATGAAACTTGAGAAAAAAATTACCAGAAGTAGTGAATGCCAGATTATCAGCACAGGTCAGCTGATCATAGTGTCACAAAACGAGTTATGTGTTTGATTCCAAAGGCATTCTTTCTCCGTGCTGCACCGATACACTCAGTCGCGGGGTTCCTCA